AGACCCTGCAAAATGCAGGGAAGAATTTAGAATTTGAGTTCAACCAAATTAACCTACTGAAAAAAATAAACAAAAAATAAATATATTCTTCAGAAAGGTAGAATCCAGCATCTCTATAGATCATTAACAATTCCCTAAGGGAATTTTAGAGGTACTCTAAAATTCTTCAACATATGAGAAAAGTAGAGGACATGGCCCATATTCAACAGAAAAGGTGATCAATCGAGACTAACTCTGAAATAATCCAGATGTATTTAGTAAAAAGAAAAAAAAGAAAAAAAATCTTCACAGCATCTATTATATCTGTGGTGAAGACTATAGAAAAAAATATACTTATAATAATCACCAAATAGAACATGTCAAAAATCAAAAACGATAGCTTTTGTTTTGAATTGATTACTAAAACTACGAAGTACTATCATTCTAAAAACAAATCCAGGGTTGATGCATGAGAAATTTAGAATCATAAAGGAAAGGGTAACTGAAATTTAAAGTAGATTAATAGAAATTATCCAATATGAAAATAATAAACAAGTCCTCAACAATCTGTGAGAAATATCATAGTAACAGGCTTAAACCCCAAAACAACTTCTAAAATGCAACAATAATAACATATTAGGTAGCTGGTTGAAATGAGAAACACAAATGGTAAAAACTAAATGTTTTTTTCAATACATGCAGAAAAGTGTCACTAGAAATTCAACATTTGGTCATGATAATAATCAGGAATATCAATCTCATAAAAGAAAAATAAAAGGATCCCACTGTTAACATCATATATAGTGGTCAAATACTGAATACATTCTATCTATGATTGGGAACATTTCAAATAACATGTCAACACTCACCCCTTATATTCATCATCAAACGTAGACCATAGCCTAAGAAGTGAGGGAAGAAAAATAAATAAAAACACGAATATTGGAACAAAAGAACTAAAACCATCTTTATTTGTAGATAATATAAAAGTTTATGTAGAATATAAAAATAAATCCACAGAAACAAACTAAAATTAATAAATGAATTAAACAAAATAATACAACTCAAAATGAATAGTGACCATTATATTTTATAAACTAGCAATTAATAAATAGAAAATTAAATTTATATATTCCTTTAAAATAATGTCCAGAAACAAACTACCCTGAGAAGATAAACACCACCTCACTTTCCATCCCAGGATGACCAGATGTGCCACCTGGTCTGAAAGGGCTCACAGCACTGGGAGGCTTAGTAGAGTTGCTGTACGTTTGATGTAAAAAATAAACTTGTAGTTGCATTATGGAGAGATTAGGACTCAGGATCAATGGATTCCCCATCATAAATCTTGGGCAAAACAGATGATTTTTTGGAATTTGATATAACTGAATATGTATCAAGTGACTCTACTCCAGTTGATGCAGACACTGGCCTGCAGTGGATGAAATGAGACATTCACACAGACTACTGAGTCTGGTGGAGGAAAAGGGACAGCATGGCTTTTCTCTCAAGGGGAGCAAAAAGCCACAGCCTCTACCATCCCAGGTCTTTATTGGGTTTCTCTACCCATTACATGATGGTCCTCATTTACTATGCACTGGTTCGCTCTAGGTGGTTACCTTCTACAGAAAACAAAGGAGCCAATGCTGCTAATTACTTCACAGAAGAGGAATATTTGCAAATGAAAAGGCAAAAGTAGTTGAGCTGGTTACACTCATCCTTGGAAAGTTTAGCATGGTTTTTAGGAAGTTACTTTGCAGTAAATATTTGCCACTGGGGGCTGGGCCCACACCACACAGGATGGTCTACTATACCAATGGGGATCTCAGGTCCCCATGATTTAGAAACTTCTGGTCATCAATTTATGGTAGCTCTAGGTACTACTGCCAACTAATTTCCCATATGGATGAATCTGCAGGATGAAGCCTGCTCATTATCTGAAATTCTGTTGAACCATTACCCTTAAGATTTGTATTTGGAACAAATATCTCCAAATTAATGAGCCAGCACTATCTAACAAGATGACTGTTTATCATTGTGAAATTCAGAGGTTAGAGAAGGGAAAAAAACCCTATTGCTGAGATTTACAACACGAGGAAACCCACACTTGATGCCTAATGAACTTTTCATTTGGAGTCCAGAATCTCTCCTTAGGACATTTTCTGAGAACAAGCAATGTGAATGGCCTTCAGCTGGGGCAGTGGGTACTGCTTTGTTTGTTTGTTTGTTTGCTTGTTTGTTTGTTTTTAAAGCTGTCTTAGTGTGAACAACTTTTCCTTTGTGTTTGATAACTCAGGTGCTTTTTCTGTAAGTTGTTTCACATTTGAACTGGAAACCTGGACATTCCAGGGAACACAAAGACATGAGTATCCTTGGAGAGATACTTGCTGTATAAATCCACAGTGTACAGGTGTTTCTTCATGAGTTAAAACTTCAGTCATTGTGGCAACAGGGTGACAGGAAAGTAGAGGTCAAAGGGACTATAAATAAGAATCAGTTTCCCCCACTGTCTATGAGAGAGGATTGTTTGGCTGTGTGTATGTGTGTTGAGAGAGACAGAGAGAGTGAGGAAGAGAGAGGGAGAGGGGAAGAGAGAGACTGGACATATCTATTATCTGTCTTTGAATCCCTCTCCCACCTCCCACATTTCTTCTAGAAATGAGAACTAAAAAGCTTCTTGTAATACAAGGACCAGAGCATCCACTAGACAAGTAGCCCATTATTTCTACTTCTCTTGCCTAATAAGTAGGTTGGGAATTGTGGGAAGTGAAATGCGAAAAATATGATGACAACACCCCGTGCTGCAGGAATACTCAGTCCTGTGCTTTCCTCACTCCTGAGGACAAGTTCAGCCTTTCAGCTCCCTGGAAAGAGTGAGGTTGACCAGGAAAAGGAAACATTGACCTTCATATGTCATTGCTGAGGGAGCCCATACAGCGCCTCTGACCCTGCCTCTATCACTGTAAGTCATTCTGGGAATCAACACCTGAAACATGGACATATATCTGGACAAACAGAGAAAAAGCTTTCATTAGAAAAGAGAATTACTATGTAATTAGAAAAGAATGACAAATCAACATATATCTAGTGTATTCACTTAGATTTAAAAAAAACTATTCCAGTACTTCAAATAAAAGAGAAGGTAGATACAAAAGATAAAAGTTTATTTAATAATAAAAAATAATTACTAAATGTACAATAAGTAAAGGTAACTACAGGCAAAATGTTATTAGTAGCTTTGTAGAATGTATTCATTTTGCCTAACTGAAACTTTAAACTTGGTGAACTGCAATGACTTAAAATGTAAGTGGTTAGATCCCACATTAAGTGTTTTTTACCACAATAAAAAAGGCAATGTGATTGATAGCAGATATTAAATAGTAAATTCACAGAAAATGTCTTGAGAAAAGCAATTATACACAATCTAGAATGCACTGTACACAAGAAAAGTATAAGATAAAATATATTAGAAAATTTAAAATATATATATTTTTATGCAAAGAGATAAGATTAAAATGATGTGGTTCTTTAATCAAGTTATTCTATTTCAAAGCATAACAAAATCATTACAATTTGAAGTAGATTAATATTCATTTTAACAGTCACTATTTCAAATTACAGAGTGAAAAAATTGACACCAATCTGGACCAGTGTGTATATGCTAGCAAATGAGAAATTGGTGCAAACATTCTATATTTCAATCCCCCGATCTTCATTTGTTATTCTTAGTATTTTTTTATTTCTAATGAGGTACTGAATCCAATTTATTTTAATTTGATATAGACCAGTGAGTAGCAATATCAGTATGATTATGAAGTTTCACCAGATTTCAAAGTCAAGGCTCAACTGTGTACAGTGTTCACTCTACAACGTGTCACATGCATGAGCACCCTGGTCATTAAGTATTCAACGGTACTTATACTGAGCAGCCCCTGCTTCATTAATGGCTACGTGGATTGAACACGACAATCAATATTTTTTGCCCCTAAGATTTTCCCATGATTCTCCAAGCTCCTTCTATAAATCAGCATCTCCTGGGTTTTCCCTTCCACTCCACATCCTAGGGAATTGGGCTCTTACCTTTCCTGAGGAGTGAACAGCAGAAAGCGTACCTGTGCTGGAGAAACACAGATCTGGTTCCAAACTTGGCCCCTCCACTCATTAGCTATAGAATATTTGAACATACCTCATAAGTTTGTAAATTTTTTAACTCCCTGATAAAGAATTATTTCTTTTATGATATTTTAAAAAATTAACTTAGATTAAGGTGCTCCCTATATATTTATACGTATATACAATAACGTATATAGCCATATGTTGTATATGTATGCGTGTACAAGTATAAATTTACATGGACACATTTTTCCCAGACAAATACCATCTTTTTTATCCCACTGGGACAAGTAATTACTCTTCTACATGTTGATGTGGGTTCTGGGCAGTAGCTGACCCTCATTTATAATGTGTGCTTTCCTAAGAAAAGTGTGTTCCTTTCCTTTCCTGGACAAATCTATTCCTCAACATAACTTGAAACTGCTTTTAAAAGTAAAGAAGAGAAAAGTGCATGGGATGGTCTATAGGGTGTTGTACTCAGATGTTTCACAGCAAGAAAAAGTCCTGAAGACCAAAAGGCTGTCCCTAAAACAATAGTTGTCCCTTGACATGGTTCCCTCTGCTGGACAGTCTTGGCAACTCATACTTTGCATTTTCTGACCTATTTCCAAGAAAGAGCCTTAACACAGTCCCAGTCTGGGTGTAAAAAGGTCTCTAACTGAAGGCTGGGACTGGACTGGTCTTGACAGCAGAACCTGGAACCTGACAAATGAGGCTGCTACAGAAGCACTTAGTGCTCCTCTGAAGAGCACAGACCTGTTGCACAAGTTACCTCAGCTTACATTTCTCAGTGACATTACAGCAAATATTTACTGTAATTGTGCTGGGCACATGTATAGGAGCTTTACATTCAGGGGAGGTTAGTTTTACACAGCCATCTTCAAGGTTAGGTATAGTTTAAATTACAATTTGTATTTTATGAGAAGAAACAAAAATTTATTGATTGTTACACACCATTTATGACAAGAGACAAGATTTGAACTAAGAAATTTGGAACATAAAATTTTCATTCTGGATACATATATTACTTTTGTTTTTAGTTTTTTTTCTCAGCCCTCTGAACGAGCCTGCTGCTGTATGCTAGGCAACACACAGACACACTCAGATACTCCTTAGTTGGTGAGGGTGGGTGGGATGATTGTGTGTTGTCCTGAGGTGATGGCTGGTGGACACTGGTGATCCATGTCTCTTCAGATCAGTGATAAACAAAAATATGGAGAAATGGGAGTGCAGAGCTGTTACACCAATACTGCTCTGTCTTTAGGAGGGATTAGATGTCTCTCACTGAGAATACAGAAAATGGTAAATGAGCAAATAAGCTTCCCGTCTGACTTACATCAGAAACAGTACAAACCCCCAAAATGACTAAAAGTCCTGAAGAAGGGAGACAACAGAGAACAGATGGTGTGAATGGAGCAGTGAGCTCAGAGGCAGGAGGTGAGCCCCAGGACAAGTTGCTATGCAGGAGTGGGTGAGGGCAGGAGAGGGCTCAGGAGCCTGGTGGGCACAGGGTCATGGGAACTGGACAGTTCCAAGGATTGAAATATGGATAAGCAGTCTGAGAAAAGTGACATTTAGAGAACTTGTAGATGAGTGACCCTTGGTTTGTGACATTAAAAAATGAGACAGTACCTGCTTCAAAATCTAGGAAAACCCCAACTCGACAGGGAGGAACAGCCATGTAAAGAGTCAGGACCTTGGGATCTGAAGTGGGAGAGTCCTCAAAGGCAGTGTGCTCAGATTCGTTCTGTAAGCCTATAACCCAGAAGCCATTTTCAGGTCTGAACCTGGAGTAAGCATTTGAATAATTTACATTTGGGTTAAAAACAAACCCAGAGCTTTTTTTTCTGTTGAGGTTACTTGGTGTACTGTATACCCCCAGGATCCAGGCAATCTTCCCAGACACATCAACTTCCCAGTAATATTTCCCCGAAGAGAAATGTTGGTTGCCCACAACATCAAAAGCAGAAAAATTACATGGATTACATGGATATACATTACTAGACATACAATGTTGCCCAACTGTCACTTGTCTCTGATCCGCAGAAATCACAACATTCGAAACAGCATTGAGTGGATTCAGCATCAAGTCCACTGTAGGGAAAATAACACAGTCAGGTGAGTTACATAGGTCAGGTGTGTCTTGTCACACTGTGGGGAGGAATACTGGGAATTGTCTGGGAGGAAAATGAGTTAATGGGACAGTGTTGGATAGATTACTTTAGAACTGTTATAGGTATGCCTGTTTTGGAGGAATACACGTAACTAAGATTATGGCATTTAGAATCACAAATACTTCTAAAAAGAGGTCAAAACATGGTGATTTGAAGAACTTGTGGCTTCTTACCCCAGTAGCTTTGGACTTCTGTCAGCTCTGAAATGACAAAAGTTTCAGTGATGTTGTTAGAAGCAAAGGCAGAAACACAGTACCTATCTTTTCACTAGAGTGGGAACAGAAAAGGGGAGTTCTTTGAGGCTGTCAAACGAAGAAGACACCTGTCCCTTCCACCTTAGATATGTTTACATCTTCTGCACTGGGTATTTATCTCTTCTTTCATGACTACTTCTTTTTTATCATATGTAAATAACACCCACTCCCCAATTTTGCTCTTATACTATGAGAATCCCCCCCCCACACACACACTCTTTCCCTGGATCTCCTCACCTTTAAACATTTGCAGCATCCCAATGAGATCTGAAAATCGGAATGCACTCTTCGCTTTGTTGGAAACAATTTTTGGCTTGTTCAAGGTGTCAATCTCAGTCCTAAAGAAGAAAAGAATTGATTGCTCACACTTTTGACTTTGTGTCTCTTCAAGACCAAGTCTCCCTCACCTGTCCCTCCAATGATGCATCCTCGCTCAACTCTGTTTCCCTGAAGAACCTCAGGGAGGGAGAAGTGAGAGCCCTATTACTGCAGCCAGAAGAAATGTCTTCATACCTGCCTTTCCATTTACCCTCTGACTGACTTTGGGAAGGACTTCTCATGAAGCCTATGTTCTTTCTTCTAAAATAGAAGAATTAACTCCTTATGCTTCCCCTCTTAAAAACAATATGGTATTAGATGAAATAATGGTATCTTCAAAAGTTCTTTGGTGCTTTAAAAAAAAGAATATTTGATATAAACAGAAGTCACTGCTACATCATTTGGTCCTCTAGGAAGAAGCCAGAAATATGGGTTTCCAGGTAGATAGTGGGAAAGCTCTAGAACTAAGCTACTGAAAATTTTAGGTTATCAAGTATGTGGCTTCTGCATCTGAAGGCTGAAGGTCTCCTAAACCTGTTATCTCAGTATAGATGCTGAGAATGACATATGAGGTCACATTCTCTTGGGAAACATTACAAATATTTGGGAAACAAGAAGCTATAACATCCAAATTAATAGTGATCTGAATTTCATGTGTTTGATGCTTGCCAAATAGGTAGGCAATTTCAGACAAATAAAACAATTTTTCCCTATAACATGCTAAAGTGTTTAAGCAATAAGAGGTTAATTATTAGCACTAGGACTAAAGTCATCATTCCCCAAGACTTGAGGACAGGATCCTCCCTGAGACAAGATAGGCACCTATGAAGTATACAAATAAACAGAGGCAAAAACCAAGGTCTTCTAAAAGGAGTGAACTCATTGAATACTGATACTGTAACCCCTTATTTCTCATGCTTCTATTCACACAAACTCTGTGACTTCCCACAACACACATTCCTGTTATCAGCAATTTGAAACCATGTAATACCCAAATTTTTAAAAATTATTCAACTTTTAAAATTATGATTGATTCAAGATTACTCTTACTGTTATAATTCCATTACCACACAAAAAAAGGACCATGCCTGGTCTGGTACACATACCTTCTTAAGACGTTAATCACATCCTGGGGAGAAGAGAGAATACTTAAGTCAAGTGTAAGGTTTCCAGATTTAGAAGATAACCTGGCTAGTTAAAATTTAATTTTGGACAAATTCCAAATATGTCTTAGTACAATCATCACCTCTGCAATATTTAGGATACTCTTCTGTTAAAATATGATGTACTGTTTACCTGAAATTCAAATTTAGCTAAATGTTCCTTATTTTTCTGGCAAATCTTGAAGGAGAAATAAGCCCTCCTACCTTACAAAGTTTTACTTACATTTCTCCTCACACCCCTAGCATACCTTGATATGATGTGAATAGGAAGATAGTCAAAATAAATAAATGGAGACAAACTGTAAAGATAACACCCAGACCAAGCCTCCCAAGGACTCATGTGAGGATGTTAGAAAGACGCTTCAAGGGTCTGGAGTTGTAATATATTGAAAAGGAAGAGAGTCACCCTATAGTTTTTTAATGCACCTTCATGAGAAGACCTTCTTAAATCATTATGCTTTTATTTATTATAGTGACAAATAAAGGTAAAATCTTCTATTTGTCAGACATCATTTAGGCTCTGGGGAATCAAAAATGAATAACTAATAATTACACTGTTCAGGAAGTATATTCTCTTTTGCTGCAGGAACAAGCAAACTAGCACCTCAAACAAATGCTCCTCTGGCCTCCCTCCACTCACTCCATGTACCTCCTAAACACTACCTGAAAGGAATCTCATCAAGTTTTATGTATGAAACAGGCCATGGGAGCCAGCAGCAGAGGAGGTCTAAAATGTCATTGTTTTCCAACTGTTTACATTCCATTCATTGTCCAGATCAATATCCTCTTCATCACTGACTTAAAAAGTATATCTTACCAGGAATTTTAATACCATATTAAGCCAATTCAGTCCATATGGTCAGCTTCTTGTAGCTATCTTCTTTTCCCCATTTTAACATAATTGGCCTTATTTTTTTAATGGAAATACACCAATATATTTGGCTTCTCCCTCTTTAGTCTAAACCCTTTATACCAACAAAGCATTGACTACACATCCTCAAAAAATGTTACTCTCTGCATTGTCTTTTGTTGTTATTGTATATATGAAAAAACAGCTAAAACTGGCTTAAATTCAAAATAAAAAGGAGAAACAGAGAAAGCAGGTATCACTTTGTAATAGCTAGATTTTTAGGAAAAATCTTGTCATCAGCATCTGTTTTTTTCTTCTCAAAATCTTATTTTCTACCTACTATATGAACTTTCTTTTCATAATCTATGTGGTGTCAACATAAATATCCTGGTTTAAATGATAATTCATGATATATCACCTAGCATAAAAGAGAATTTCTCTTTCTAGACATAACCCTAATATTCTAAGCATACAAATCATTTCCTTGAAATGGATCAGATACATATCTTAAAATAATTACTGCAACATTGGTAAACCTATAGGAATTACATATGTTGATTTACTTAGAATTAAGAGACACATATATTTGTAATGCTACTAATTTTATCAGCACTAATCAACTATGTGGAGTGAGGGTAGAGATGGTTCCTCAAAAGGTAATTGAGAGATGGTTTTTAAAAAAGTACTGAACTATGGTTGAACAAACAACTGTTCTATACAGTCCATCCCTTAGCTGACACCATCTCCTCACCCTATAAAAATCCCACAAGGGTTTTAATAAAAATTAACAAGATATTAAAAATTTTATGGCCCCAGGCCAGTGTTTCTCAGCTTTGACACTACTGGGATTATACCATGATAAATCTTTGCAGTGGTGCCTGCCTTGTGCTTTGCATCTGAATTGGCAGCATTTCTGGCCTCTACCCATTCAATGGTAGTAAAATTCTCCAAATGGTCCCTGCTGCAGAGGTGTTTAAATGGTCTCCAGAGAGAACTGACTTAGCATAGAATTGTTTTACCATAGAACTAAATTGGATTACCCTACCCTATTTCAAAATTTTTTATGAAGCCATAGTAATCAAAAGCTTGGAGTGTCAGTGCAAAGATAAATGTAGACATTTTGTAAGACAGTGATAATCTAGAAATATATCCTTATGTTACAGGGTGCAGACAAGGGGGGGAACCCCAAATAGGCATTTGAGATGGGGTCCAGAACTCAAGGTGTCCAGGAGATTTTAGGATGTTCTCACCCCCCCACCCAGGGTGTGGGTTGGGGGAAGGGACAAATGGAGCAGGGCCTTTGAGAGCTGTTTCGCATAGCAACAGCCTTGTAGCTAAACCTCTGGCGTGGTCATTTAACATATCTATAGCCTTTGGCTGGTCGCTTAGATATGTTAAATAGCTGTGGCCATACTCTGAGCCAGGAAAATGGAAGTAACTACCCCACCAAGACGTGACTGGGGGGCAGGTCCCCCGTGTTACAGCACCTGCATGGAAGCTTGGAGATGATTGGCTCCACGACATGGGGTCACACCTGCCCAGACTCATGATGGCAGTCCAGTAAAGCTGGAAGGATACGAGTTCTGGCATGTGAAGCCGAGTGTGGGAGGAGTTGGAAATGGGGCTGCAGAGGAAGACTGGCGCGGGGATTTAAACCCAGAGGCAGCAGCCCTGAGAGGGAGAACCATGCAGCTGTGGAAGTGCAGAGAAGATCACAGCTATTAAGGAGAGAGAACCACGCAGCTTTAGCAGAGTGGAAACTTCGCACAGCCCTGCGAGAGAGAATCACCATGCGGCTTTAGCAGAGAACCGCCACTCAGCTTTGGCAGAGTGGCGACCCCTGCCCCCCTTGCAGCCATTGCACAGGGGGAGAAGCACACGGTTTTGGCTGAGTGGGGACTCCTGTGGCCCTGGAAGAGAGGACCATGTGCCTTTGCCTGAGTGGGGACCCCCTCAGCTTTAGAAGGGGGAACCACCACCTGGTTTTAGCAGAGGTCCCGGCGACTCAGCTGAGGGTGCCAGGAACCCAGGGAGGTCTCCCAGTCGAGATGGAGTACTAACTGGGAGTAACCAGAGGACTGCCTGAGCCATGGACTTCTATTTCCTTTCCTGAGATACGGTACTCTGGACTGGGCAAAGGGGGAAGGAAGGACCGTGTCTGTTTGTGGGTGTTTTAAAGGGACTTTAGGGTTTTTGATAAAGACATTAGGTCACTACTTTAAGTTTGTATAGCATTAAATAAACATTTCCTTTCCTTTTCATGAATCTCTGGCATTGAGAGACATCTTTCCTCTGGCAGTGGACATAACGGACCTGGGGGCTTCTTTCAGTAATAGTATATCGTCCCAGGCTCCCCCTTGTTGTGCTCTGTAACACTTATATTCCAAACAAATTGATTTTTGGCAGAAGTACCAAAGTAATTCAGAGAGAAAGGAAAGTCTTTTCAACAAATGTTGAACTGAATTTCTTTGTGGCCCAATATCATGGATGGAACTGGAGAATATTATGTTAAGTGAAATAAGTCAGTCAGTGAAAGGCAAATACCATATGATCTCACTTATAAAAGGAATCTAATGACCAAAATAAGCTAATGAGCAAAATAGAAACAGAAATACCACTGGAAGCAGCCAGAGGGGTAGGCTGAGGGATAATGGTGGAAAGAACAGAAGGGACTGGTCAAAGAACATGCATGAATGACAGATGGACATGGACAATGGTGTGGGGATTGACTGTGGGAGTGGAGAGTGGGCTGGATGGGGGAGGGCAAAGGGCAAAAAATTGGAACTGTAATAGAATAACAAAAATAATAAGTAAAAAAAGAATCTCAGTATATTTATTAGAAAACTTAGGATTACATACTTACAATGGGTGATTTCATGTGTAATTTATACCTTAAGAAATGTGTTTTTTAAGACAGAAGTGAAAATTCAGCTGACAGAAATTAATTACTCTAGTATTGGAACCAAAGTTAAATAATTCTTGTTCAACACAGGTCAGGATGGCCATCATAAACAAATCAACATAAAATTAGTGCAGGAGAGGTTGTGGAGAAAATGGAACCCTAGTGTACTGTTGGTGGGAATGCAGACTGGTGCAGCCACTGTGGAAAACAGTATGGAATTTCCTCAAAAAACTAAAAATGGAACTGCCTTTTGATCTGGCAATTCCTCTGCTGGGAGTATACTCTAAGAATCCTGAAACACAAATTCAAAGAACCTATGCACCCCAATGTTTATAGCAATGCAATTTACAATAACCAAGTGCTGGAAATAGCCTACATGCTGATCAGTAAATGAGTGGATCAAAAACTTGTGGTACATTTACACAATGGAATGTTATGCAACAGAAAGAGAGTAGGAAATCCTACCCTTCACAACAGCATGGATGAAATTGGAGAGCATTATGCTAAGTGAAATAAGCCAGGCAGTAAGAGACAAATACCATATCTCACCTATAAGTGGAACTTAATCAACAAAACAAAAAAGCTAACAAAATAGAAGCAGAGAAATGGAAATAAAGAATAAACTGACAGTAACCAGATGGGAGAGGGGAGGGAGATAATGGAGAAAGGGTCAAGTCAAGGAACATGTATAAAGGACCCATGGACAAAGTCAATAGGAGGAGGAGGAGGTCTGAATGTAGGAGGTGGGGGTGGGTAGCAAGGGGGGGAGTAAAGGGGGAAAATGGAGAAATCCCTGTCCAGCTAGCAAAGGAAAATGGCAAGAAGTCAAGCATAGAAAATCTCAATTTCCTAAGAGTCTCCATACATTTCATAGTTTAAGATCATAGTCATGCAGTGAATTTCATGAAAAGATTACATTATTTATATTAGGTACCATTTATATTAGGTACCATCCCTTTATCAAGTCTCTATAGGTTTCCCCCAATCTTTCCCTAGACAATGCAAACACACACACACACACACACAAGCATACATATGTGCTCATACCTTACCCAGGTACTAGTCTATCATTACCTCTGCCATTCCTTAAAACAACAACAAAATCTAACACAAAGGAGATGTCAGTTGTTCGACTAAGCTCAGTGAAGAAATGCCTTACAAATGCGAAATCACAGATAACAGAAGCCAATAGACTCTTCTCTCAAATTTTGCCCAACCCTTTATAAATAATAGCACTGGGAATTCCTCTTGCAATTTGTATATTGAATTTCCCATGGACCCTTGTTATGAATAACAGAGAAGGAACACTAGGGGTAAATGGAACCTTTAATGAGAGAGAAGGTGCAGGGACCCAGAAGGAAAAGAAAGTTAATCTGTGTGTGTCCTCCGAATCTTCTATGTAGGAGCTCCATCCCAACTCTCACCTGAGGCATGTCTATAGACTCTGCAGATTCAGGCGTATGAGACTGGAGATCTGAGTCAAGCTCGCTTACATTCCCTTCATCTTCCTCCAGCTTTTGCAGCTCCCTCTGCTCCTCTTTGTCCAGGATGCCTCTCATTTGCTCAAACCCTTGCAGAATCCTCTCTCTCTCTGTCTGTATAAGTTTCTTTGCGAATGAGAAGAGAAAGAGGCAGTCAGGCTTTCATGAGCCTTGGGAGCAAGACAAGACATATTTTCTTCAGGCACTGAGGAGGTAAAAGGGAAATGAGCGATTCCTGGGAAAATCATTTTTCCTACTATTTTCCCTTGAGCTCCACCTAGAGTAATTCATTCAAGTCTACTTTTTCAAGGCCCACCAGGGGACACAATGTGCTACCTGGATGAGGCTTGGATTGTAGACACCTGTCCTGGACAATCATGACATACTGTATATGAAACGCCTCCACCCATACTTGAAAAACAGGGAATCCTGGACCTCACTTAATGAGTTCTATGGAAGTAACAGAGCCTCAAACTTGACGATGGAAGTGGTTGATGGGATTCATGAATAATTTTTACATTGCTTCCCTTTAGATGTTTTCCTCCAAAATGGTTACGTTCACTTGTGACATGTCTACTCTGTAGCCCCCAACACTTAATAGGGAAGGAATTGACTGAGGACTAACAAAATGTCTTCTGGACTCATTAATTGTGAGGTACCAAGAAGGAAGTGACCTCCTTGTAATTAGACAAAGAGGCTGCCCAGTTTCCTATGTCAGAACTCCCTCAGGAATAATGTCTTTCTACCTTCCAAGTAGCTCTCTCTTCATGGATGTCAGCTTCCAACTGCTCAGCTTCCTGCTGATCCTGTGACAGCTTCTTCAGAGCTTCCTGGAGCTTCTCCTGTCATAAAGAAATCACCAAAGTCAAGCTATGAGCTTTCCCAGAACCTGGATTAAGGATAAATGGAGAAGAAATCAGGAATATCTCAGAAGAGACTAAAGTTTCAGAAATGAAACTGGCAATTAGAACTGAAAATGTAGACAGAAATCTGAGCAGGTGATGCAAGTTCTTTCTCCCTGGGTGATGTGAGTTATCACCCCTCTATCAAGAGTACCTTGTATCTCTCTTTTCCTAGAGGAAGACCTGATCCTGCAGCAAGTAAAGTCCTTTCCTCTCATGGACACTTTTCTCTCCTATAAGCAAATGTTCCTAAAAATCCCACTTGCTCACAGGGGCAATCAGAGCTTATTTTAGGAAGCAACTCTCAGTCATACAACTTCTCTTTGCTAAGATCATGTAGTCTACATTTATTCTTCACAAAATGAAACAATACACAGAAATGTTCTTCAAGCCTCAAAACCTGAGTCAAGGGTATGAAAACAGAATGCAGGGCTAGTTCTATGATGACAAGGAGAATTAATAGGATTAAAAAGTAAAGATTTCGCTTCAGGTATTATGCAACATTTCCCCTCCCTGGAGCTTACCTGATATTCCTTGACCACCTCCATGATGGGAGACATTTGGTGACCTTGGTGCTCCTGGACACAAAGCCTACAAATAGCCTTCTCATCATCCTTACAGAAGATATCATAATTTTCCCCATGGTGTTCACAGAGATCTCTCCTCCTTGGCTGGTGTGAATTCATGTCCACCTCCCTGAATTTCTTCACTCTCTCTGCCAGCTGCCAGTTAAACTGGAGGTTCCAAGGCTGGTATCTGCTCTGACAAACAGGACAGCAGCATTCCAATCCTAGGGGGCTCCCTGATTCACTCTTTGCAGTGATACAGTCTTGGCAAAAGCTGTGGCCACAGTCCAAGCTCATGGGTTCTGTTAGGAGCTCCCAGCAGATGGGGCAGCTCACCTCTTTTATGCTCTCTTGTGATGAAAAGTCCATGGCCAACCTCCCCTGGCTTCTTCCTGTCCTGGTTCCAGGGACTCTTCTTGCTCACAAACTCCTGCGGGGCTGGTGATACCAAAGGGGGCAGGATAAGAATGGCAGGAAGAGAAAGGACACTGATGTACAGAGATTTAAAACAGGACAAAACATTGATATTCAGTTAGGAAAGGAAAAGAGAGAGAGAAGAAGGGTAGGTCAGTGACACAATAAAAAGGGCACTTGGTAATACTTTCTTTCTTTTTTTTAAAAAAAAAACATCACCACACACTTGGTTTCTTTTTTTTTTTTTAAGATTTTATTTATTTATTTTTAGGGAGGGAAGGGAGAGAGAGAGAAACATCAATGTGAGGTTGCTGGGGGTTATGGCCTGCAACCCAGGAATGTACCCTGGCTGGGAATCCAACCTGGGACACTTTGGTTCCTAGCCCGCGCTCAATCCACTGAGCTACGCCAGCCAGGGCTGGTAATACTTTCAAACATTTTACTCTTAGTTCATGTCACATGACAAATTTCATCCTTTTGAGGCAATGACGGATTGCTATTTTCTATGTTTCTATTGGATAGAAGGACAAATTGAGGCCTTTTCTACCAAAAGCTTTGTGCCTTCCCATCATGAGTCTTATCTAGTTTTCCCCTCCCCCAAACACATCCATGTTAAATACACTAGCGTTACTGCAGCCTGCTAGGTTTTCATACTTGCTCTTCTCTCTGTGTGGAATGATCCTAAACCTATCACTTGCATGACTTATTTTATTTTGACTATTGTATGGAATTATATTTACATCACATGGTTTTTTTAAGAGTACAGTAATTTCTAGTAAACTTATGGAATGGTATTAGTATAACTATCACTAAATTCCAAATTTTAGAATATATTTATTTTTTGAAATCAAAGCTAATGCCATTAGCAGTCATCCCCATTCTGACCCAGAGTGTCAGGCTACCATTAATCTCCCTTGTGATTTTACAGATTTACTTTTACTGGAAAATTCATAACACTGAAATTATATGGTCTTGTGAGTCAGAATTCTTCCACTTTGCATCTGTCATTGAGATTCATCTTTCCTGCCTCTCTCTCCCAAAAAACCCACTGCTGTCTCAGAGATTTTGCACTTGTTGTCTCTACATGGCATAATCTTCTCCCTGATGTCTGCATGCCTTCTTCTTACATTTTATTCAGTCTCTGTCCTATATGGCCTTTTATCAGAAGGGCCTGCTCCAGTGTATCTATAGCAAAACTGTCAATACTATCACCTGCCGTATATTTGCTATATTTTTCTTATTTTACTTTAAAATATGTAGCATCTTTCTTTAATTGTTTACTTTTTCTTCTTAAAAATGAATTCATGCATAGATTGGGCACCATTCTGTCCACTGATGTGTCCTCTATACCTGGAAGAGTGCATCACACAGGAACACAATGTTTGATGAATATAGAAAACCAGAAGCTCCCCATCTCTCCATGGAAGATTATAACTTTTGAATCAGCTCTTCACTTTTATATTATGATCAGCAGTCCTCCAATACCTGAGAATCGTTTCCTTGCTAACACATCTGTGCCCCATAGAGCATCCCATGCCCTCAAACTCATTCCCCGAGAAACCTACAGAAACAGTAAAGACCACAATAGAGAGGTCATTTTATTACTAACAGTTTTATAACCAGTTGTAATTTAGAAATTACCTTGACCTATTTATTTCTGATATGAAATTTTTGAAAAATGAGTACTCCTTTCTTGGATTAAGATATACACAAAATAGTCGCAAAATCAGTAGGGGAATACAAAAGTAGAGCATAAGGAATATAGTCCATACTATGGTAAAAACTATGTATGGTGCCAGGTGGGCACTTGAAATATTAGTGGGGGAGGGATCACTCTGTAAACTATATGATTATCTAAGAACTATCCTATACATCTGAAACTAATACAGAATTATACTGAATGTTGACTGTAATTGAAACTTCAATTAAAATAAAATAATTAAAAATAAATTTAAATATAAAAAAGAATATTCATTAGGTGTGTGTGTATAATAAATGACTTATAGAGTTCGAGGTCATTCTTTTAAAATAGGTAGAGGTGTTGGGAAATGTGCCATGCCCAATAATACCATTCAGTGTTCTCTCCATTACTGCACAGATCAAATAGAGGTAGAGGTTGCACGAACTAGATTGATACCCAGTGCTATCAGGGTGTAGAAACAAAGAGAATAAAACCAGGTAGTTTTGAGGAGTCCTGTGTTTGTAGATTTTGGGTCTAATAACTTGTCCGGGGCTTAAGGCTATGTGTCAAGAGTCACATAAATGTGTGTGTTTTTAGGGAGGGAGAGGTGTATATACTCAGGATCACACATACAACAGAGACCTGAGGGACATAAATTCCAATGAGGCATCTGTCAGTCAGGAGAGGGAAGACTCAATATGTAAGGATGCCATGTCCTGGAGAAATAAACTGTGTCCTGTTCCAAGCACATTAAGTGCTATTATGAGTTGAATTGTGTCCTTTGAAAAGATGTTGAATTCCAACCCCCAGAATGTTGGAATGTAACTTTGTTTGGAAATTGTGACTTTGTAGGTGTTCATGTTAAAATGATATCATTAGGACATGTGTTCATCTGACACCACTGTGTCCTTATAAACAGGGGAAATTTGTATACAGATAAGCATGCATGCATAGAGAATGTCCTGTGAAGACAAAAGCAGAGATCATGGTGATTCACTAGACAAGAAGGAATGCCAGTGAGTGTAAGCCAACTATCAGGAGTGCAGCCAGCAGAGGCCTGGAACTATCGCTTCCCTCATGGCTCTGAGAGGAACCAGCCCTACCAACATCATTGATGTTTTATTTCTAGCCTCCAGAACTGTGAGAAGAAATTTCGGTTAAGCCTCCTAGTTTGTATTACATTTTGTATGGCAGCCCTAGAAAACTAACACACATTTATTTTTCTTATATTCATTTGTTGTGTTCTATCATTGAAGAAGCATTGAAACCCTTCGGCTTAATGCAGACAAAGACAAAATGCATTCTTGCTTTTGGAGATGGTACTATGTGAGTTTTTATAGAGTAAGGTAAGAGCCAACTAAGGTGTCAGTTTTCTTATATCACTATATCCTAACAGTCTGCACAGGGGTTTTCTGTATCTGTGCAACTCAGACAAGAAAAATAAAAGTGTCTCCACAATGTTGAAAAAGTCCTATGAGGGGTTTAGCCAACATCCTTGAAACCTCTCCTGCAACCTGATTCACAGACTACCTGTGGGAAGTGAGTCAGTTCTTGGCAGCCAGCTACCTGGGGACCTCAGAAAGATTGTAACTCCTCCCCATTCTTCTGTATTCATTGTTTTTCTTCTACCTCATCTTCAAGTCCAGGGTTTAATCTGCACCAATCTAATGAACCTCCCTGCAAGAGCTCCAGCTCTCAGGTCAATTTGTTTCAAAGAAGTCATTTGGTAACAGAGGCCATCTTCAGAAAGCTACCCCTAGTCTCAACACTTTCTCTCACAGTTGGTTTATCACAAAACCCTGCAGTACTCTCTTCAACTTAGGTCCCATCCAGCTCAGTCTTTTACCTGGATTCCAGAAATGGATTCCCACTAGTCTTTCTGATACTGTCCCTGGTCTCATACAGTCTTCCATCGTCACAGGTCACCACCAGCCAAAGTGATTTTTTAAAGTATCTATTAATGGTGTCACTCCTTTGTTCAGATGCACATCATCAGTGAGTTGATCTCATCATGGTCTAGTTGGGTCCAATTCCACATCCCCTTCTGCTGTCTCACACTCTCAACCCACCTTCCCTCCAACCCACACTGGCTACCTTTCTGTTCCTTAATCAATCAGTACAAAAAATATCATTTTCTTGAAGACTTCAACCAAAATCACCTTCTCACACTGAAAACTAACCTGAAATTTTTTTAAAATGGCAAATGTCTTTATCAGGGCACAATATAAGCCTTGTCCTGTTATAGCACATTTATTTTAATATTGTTGTATCTTTGTTTTACACTTATAACATAATTTTCTTCCTTTTTTTAGACCTCCTCATTCTGCCCCAAAATATAGTTTTTGTAAGTACATAATATATGTTGTATGTTCAACAGAAGTTAACACAGTTTTTTTTTACTAGGGTTGAATGCATTTCTTCTTTAGATTTTAATAAAAATTTCAAAATGTATAATTACTTTCCCCTCTTGGGGTGATCTGCAATAACACATGAGAATTCAATTAATATACCAGATATGAACCTTGTCCATGTTAGACACAGATTCATGTTTTTGAGAAGAAGGAGGGAAGGAAACTACATATCGTATAAAAATATAGGTAACAGAGATATCAAGGTACAAATATCTCAAAGGGGAAATTAAGATGGAGTTCTTTCTGAAAAATTACCAACTCCTTCTTTCAGCTCCATGCTAGGGAAAAGTTAAGAACCAGATTAAAGTAATAAACAATGGAAGGGTATGTCTAAGATGATACAGAATATGTTCTAAAGCAGGAGTGGATACCAGAGTGTCATGGAGTAAACTAAGGTAAGAGTACACCGTGGAACTCAGGAGAGAAGAACCCCCTGAGTTCCACAGCTTATTAGACCCCCCAAAAGACAAGTGACCAACTGGAAGCCTCAGAGATGTGCAGCAACCTGACTGTGCAGGCTTCCAAAGGGCTGACCATTTATCAGGAAGAATGTGCACAGCTTCCCACAAGTTACCAAGACAACAGTAAAAGTACTTTGGTCTAGGTCAGAGGTGGCAGGTGCATGTCTGGTCTAAATATGGGAAGAAAAAGCCCCTGAAACAACCCCAGACACGGGCCAAAAAGATAAGCTAGGAAAATAAGGCATTCAAACAGAAACAAAAAGGGGAGCAGAAGAAACTCGAGTTGCTGAAAGCAAAGGTTATGGGGAAGAGCCCCCGCAGGACACAGGTCACATAAAGAAATCTGTCCAGAAGTGAGCTGTTTCCTTTGCCTGGAGAAATGGTTATTTTAATTCCATTCCTACTTAATATCTGGATACCTTATCATAACAACTGCTGCCACTAATAGCTAGAATGAATTGTCTTGGAACTCACTACATATTTAATGATAAATTTTAGTAAAAAATGACAATAATTTAACAAAAGAGTTAAAAGATCAGCTTCAACAGGGTCTCATCCATGGCAGGGTCCCTAAAATCCCTCCCCCCATGTGCATTCAGGTAAAGGATGTTATATCTCTCCTGGCCCTCACCAGGAGCTTGGGTTAGATGAAGAAGGACACCAGGGCTTCACCTCACAGGCTTCAATAGAGAAAAGGAAGAAGGGATTATCTGCCTGGGAAAAAACAAAGGGTATAAGTATTCTGGCTCACCTTGGCAAGGTAGAAAATCAAATCTACAGAGTAAGAGGAAGAGGAGGGTAAGTCAGTCAGCCTGGAGAAATAATGGTCTCTCCAGGAAACAAACAAGACTCTGTTCTTTTAAAACTCCCTTCTTTGAAGGCACTCTTTCCCTAGACTCAATGTTCCCCTATTCTGCCACCTTAGCAGAGACAGCCACAAGCAGAGCAGCTTCAGAACCACAGTTTAAGTCACCAAACACATTCAATCTGTTCTCCCAAAGCCTCCTGTCCTTTGCCCTCAGAAACTGCCTCACTTATCTTCAGGAGAAGTACAGTTGTCCTGAACCAATGGAGAAGATCAGCTGTAGGCCTGCTCAACATTTACTCACCAAGCCAGAGATCAGCTCTCCACAGAGGAGCTCCCCACAGGAAAAGGGTGAGAAATGAAACTTAAATTCTTAGGAGTGGAAATGAAACCAAGGGAGCAGAAGAGAAACTTAAGAACAATGCCACCTAGTGGGACACTTGGGGAAGTTAATGCCTTAGTAAATTCTAGGACCTACCCGAGCACAGCTCTCAATCACTGTGGTTTTCTCCCTTTTGCAAATTATTCTAGCAAGAATATTTGAATAGGGAGAATGTGAATTCCAATGATATAATCTTCAGCTTGACTGAATTCTCAGAATTTCAGTTCAGTTCTATAACTATCAGTTAAGCTTCTCTGTATTCAGGTCCTAAACAACTTACTAGGGATGAACTCATGATCCAGAAAGTCTGGGGACCTGCCCTTTGTAATGCAGAGTGTGATGGGGAAGGTAATTAGGGAAAGAGCTCTGTTAATTTGAGCTCAGTGGTGACAGCTGTCATTGTGACAGGTAAAAATAAAATTTTAGAAAATGTTATTCACCATGAGCTTACTGAGAAAAAATTTCCACAACAATGTTGAATCTTAGGAGTCCACCAGTTAATCAACACCTTTTGTTCCTAATTGAGGCAGGCCAGGACATAATGGTGGCACAACTGTGTCATTGACAAGTTACTAGCAACCAGAAGGTAAGCAGATGGTACTATTCAAGTTTAGCCTTACTCTGAGTAACGCACCTCCATAATCATGTACTTTCCCCACTTCCTGTAGAAGGCCTGGTCCTTTTTCAACTATTAGTCAAAAGCAGAGCTGAAATAAATTTTAAAAGCAAATTAAAAAGAGGTACAACTAATGCATGACATAGTACTATAATAAGATAAAAATAAAGTAAGTATAATTTAAAAAAATGCAGAACTCAAATATTTCTATTTGCTATGCACTTTCCTGCCCTTTTATTGATCTTGTTCTTCTGAGAACATGTTTCAGATGGTGCAGCTACAAGATCGGGAAGCTCCAGACAGGGGTCCCTGACTGACAACACTGCAGAGGTCAGCCATCTTTATACATTAACTCATAAGAGACACGCAGGGCAACTGAAACATTGATGTTTTTTCTAATTAAGGCACAGATATTTTGGTATTGTTGGTAAACCACAGAAGAGTAAATTAATGTCTCATAAACTCTTCTTGATTCACATATGTCTATGAGGCACAAACTGGAATTAAAAGAGGCAAACTTGCTGAGCTATACTGACAGTTTTAGTTTCAAGGATATGAATGAAGTAATTTCTAACAAATAAACTCATGATGCTTAATAATAATAATCATGTAAATTATGCATTAATTGTGTGCTGAGAGGTGGTACTTCTTTCTTTATCATCTTTGGCATCACATAACACTATCATTGAGTATTCCTCTTTATCAAGTTCTGCACCCAACACAGTAAGATTTATGAAGATAGGAAGGAATCTATGATAATCTTTATTGTGTCAAATTTATTATAAAACATTTTATATGAGGAGTGATATTGAAATAGAAAGGCTTACAGTTATATTGCTGTGGATGCTATTTTAATTACATTGAACATGGTAATGATAATCATGGTTCTGTTCTATTGGTGGTATTGCTGTCAACATAGCTTTGAAGGCAGACCTCAATTGGTAGTGGATAGACTGTTATAACTCAGCAACATATAGGCTTATGTCTGGAAGAACAAGAATAATTTGGGGCTAGTGCAGCAGCTAGACAGTATGAGGAGAACATCTTTATAAGAGAGATCCAGAGGGAGATCCCAAGTTGTCCATAAAAACTCTGACCAGTCCTCTGGACTAAATATATTTGAGATAGAAGACAAGTAGCCCAATTAGGGCTAATGGGACTGATCACAGATAACAGCTCCTACAAAATGCAGGGGAGAATTTAGAATTTGAGTTCAACTAGGTTAACTACTGAAAAAAAACCAATAATATTCTTCAGAAAGATAAACAGAATCCTGAGGCTCTACATCTCATTAACAATTCCCCTGAGGGAGGGAATCAAAGATTATTCAACATATGAGAAAAGTAGAGGACATGGCCCATATTCAAGAGAAAAGGTGATCAATGGAAACCAACTCTGAAATAATCCAGATGTTGTGTTTAGTACACAAGGACTTCAGCAGCTATTATATCTGGGGTAAAAGATATAGAAGAAAATATAATAATCACCAAATAGGACATGTCAAAAATGAAAACCAAATAGTTTTTGTTTTTAATTAAAATACTAAAACTACAAACTAAAATCACTCTAAAAAGAAATCCAGGTCTGCTCAAGAGAAACTTAGAATCATAAAAGAAAGACTAAATGATACTTAAAGGTGATTAATAGAAATTATCCAATATGAAAGTAATAAACAAGTCCTCAAAAATCTGTAAAAAATATCAAAGTAATAAGCTTAAACCACAGAACAACTACTAAAATATCTTCAACTCAGTATCTTTACTGAGTTGCCATATTGATGAGTGCAGGTCATATGTTTATCTGAATGATGATCTCAGGTCCCCAAATGAAGAAACTTATGATCACCATCAGGTGATTTTCCTAGATATCCACACATTGTCCTTGAATGGTCCTATAGGTTGCAGTTTCCTTATGTCTTGAGCCCAACCAAACTTTCCCCTGTGGCTACACATTTGCTTCACTGATATTCCAGCATGTTCCAGGGCCCCAGAAATACAAGAAGGCATTATTGCTAGTCAGAGATTCAGAGGTTGTGGAGAAAGTCCTAGAACTGATATGTAGAGAGCAAATTTGCACTTGGTACCCACCAGACTTTTGATCCCAGGAAATTTTCTCTGCCAGTTTTCTGATAAGAGAGAGCATAACTAGAAGCCACTTAAGAGTGTCATATTCTTTTCATCAGAGGGGTCCATTGTGGTGCCAGGAGCCTCTGCTAAAAAGTGTGAAGATATTTTGTGTTGCATACAAAATTTCAGGTCTTTCTTTGTAACTAGGTGCTTCACCTGGAATCAAGTATTCCAGGAAATGAAAGTACATGCATGTCCTTGGAGAGTCATTTGTCAATATTTCAATAGTGTAGATTATTTCCTGTAAGAGTCATAAGGGCAAATGGGGTGGCAGGAAGGCAGAGGTAAAAGGAAAATTTTAGAGATTAATTTCCCCCACTTTTCATGATGAGTGCTAAGGTATAAACATATGCATAAACACAGAGGTACTGGAAATTTCCAGGTTGGAATCCTTTCTTTCATTAAAGGTCATTCAAAATGAGGAAGTTTGGAATTCCTGGAGACAATCAAGACAGAGAGAAGACAACACTTGACCAAAAAGCACATTTTTCTAGCTCTGAACTTGGTTGGGGAAGAGTTGAAAATAAAAATACGAAAAGACATTGGGAGCCCATCAAGATCTGAATGAACATATTATCTTCCTATCTCTAGAAGGAGGAAAGTCTTTTTTCTTTGTTCTTGAGAACTTTCAACTCAATGCAAATGTAGGGCTCATCAGGGAAACAAAACACTTCACTGCACCATTGTAAAGAAAACCCACAATTGTACTTCTGACTCATTGAATCACAGTGAATAAGTTTATTCAGAGATTTCTGCCAGATTGGAGTGATTAAGGGGGGCAGAGGAAGAAATGTAAGAATAAATGATGCTAACTGTGCAGATATCACAGACAGGACAAGAACGCATGTTGAAGGACAAAAAAAAAAAAAACAGGTAGAGAGACAAGGAAAGGAGCTTGGTGATCTTGTAAAAAAACAATTCATAACAATTGTAAATACTCTTAGTTTATCTGACATGGCAAATTTTATTTTTATCTCTGCAATGGTTGTTATTGTCCTTTACTTCTACAGAACAAAAAAATGACCTGAGGCCTTTCTAGAAAGGTCCTTGTGTGACTGTTGGGAACTGCCCTGCCTAGTTTCAGGAGCTATAACCCACCATGGCTAAGGCTGGGTGAAAGACCTCTTGACCAGAAGCCACTAAGGAGGCAAAGCTTATCTCCCTGGCAGGACAGCTGCTTCTGCTCTTTGCCTGGCCCCCATTGCTTGGTCAGTTAGCCAATGACAGGTAAGATCCCTCATGGGAGGGGCCACCTAAGCCAGGCATGATCACATGGAAAGGCCCCCAGGGGAGGACTTGGGGACCATGGAAAAAGGGGGTGATCGACTCTCGCCCCTCGGCTCTGACAAAGCCTGAGTCCTCATTCTGCTTGCAAAAAGTCTCCTGTCTCCCAGCTGCCTTGTCTCCTCTGCCTGACCGAAGCCTGTAACAATGACAAATGGTGGTGCAACCCTGTACTGGGAACTATGGACTTCCAGGGGTGATTAGGCCTGACAAAGAATATAAAATCATGTGAACCCTGCTTTGCTGAGGATGCTCTTAATTATATTATAAAGGCCCAGGCAAGAAATGAGTTTAGCCCCTTAAGTTTTTTTTTAAGATTTTATTTATTTATTTTTAGAGAGGGAAGGGAGGGGGGGAGAGGGAGAGAGAGAGAGAGAGAGAGAGAAACATCAATGTGCGGTTGCTGGGGGTCATGGCCTGCAACCTGGGCATGCACCCTGACTGGGAATTGAACCTGCAACACTTTAGTTCACAGCCCTCACTCAATCCACTGAGCTACGCCAGCCAGGACTAGCCCCTTAAGTTTTGTAGCCTTTTTAGGTGGTAGACCCCCAACTCAGTGTGAGCCCTATTAGTTCTTTGAACTTTATCTATCCTTTGATCCTCCCTGCCAGACAATGATTAATAAGCTGTATATGTATTCCTACCCAAAAAAACTAATAAAAGCCTGTTCAGGCAGGGGCGCGGGGCGCTCTCCTTTTGAAAGAGTGGCCAAGCCACTCCAAGGCACCGTCTCCTTGAGAAGAGAGAAGGTAGCTGTGCTGTCCCTTTTCCTCCACAGGACTCAGTAGTCCATGTGAATTTCTCTCGTATCTCGCCCATCCACAGCACCGCAGATACTGCAGGCCAGTATCTGTGTCATATGACCCAACAACTCTTCAGCTTCTTCTTTCCCATGTGAAAAACACATCCTGGAAGATAAAAGCACCAAATCCCTTATGCATCTGAACTTATACACCTACTCTTCTCTCAGCATGCAGTGCAGCCCCTGGTATAAGTAGGACTCAATCTCTTCCTTCTGTTAATCTCTCCTTATATGTTCATTTATCAGAAAGTCCTCCTCTGACTGCTTATTTATGGTGTAACCATTGGCAACATTTCCTTAATGTTTGAAATGACTTCTTTTATGGTCATGGAATAGTACATGACAATGTGTTTGTCTATGTGGCAGGAACAAATCATTTTCAAATGTGTTCATAGAGACAGTGAGTAGCTTACAAAGATTTTTCATCTTTAACATGCACAGTTGCAATGAACCTAATGTATTCAGGGTCCCATTCAGAGGTTGGACCATACCATACTGAGTTAATCAAAGACATAACAGGTAACTTAGAAGGATCTGGCAAGTCTTGTGTGATAAATGATAAAATCTCACGGTTGCCTAGAAAATATGCTGAGGACATTGATAGGAGCCCCAAAGTATGTATGTATGTGGATAGTGGTGGGGGGGATGGCATAAATATATTCATAGAATCACACAAGTCACTGGAGAAATGTGAACATAGATTAAATGAATATCTGGCCTGGGAAAGAAGTCTCAAATATTAGGAAAGGTCATTCAACTAATTCTTAATGACTATGAATTACACGCTAACAACTAAACTAATACCTACAAACAAAATGATGAGTCTAAGCAGAGAGTTTAAACCACTATGACCCTGA